AGTAAAAAAACCAAGATGTTTTAAGATTGGAAATTTAACAGGCAAGCATGAAAAACAAGTCAAATCCAAAACGCGTGGTTTAAAAGCGCCCTGTACGGATACGGTATCCGAGTCATTGCCAGCCCCAATCTGACCAGCAAATACCAAATTTGTAACCCACAAACACATGCAACGCAAAAAAGGTGCATATATCCAATAGCTATCTACAGTTACACTCAATATGACCATCCGACTCACCTCTGACGCCCCATCCATACACCCATGACTCACATCTGACTCACCCGTGGCCCCACACTTCAAAATATCTCTATCCCACATTCCTAATCCCTACATTTACAGCTATCTCTTTGCCTTCCCCTATTTAAGCCGCACTGCGTTTTTCAATTTTACCACATCTAATTTTGCATTCGTCGATTAAGAGCAAAATTATTTTTTTTATTAACACAATAAAAAATCTAAATCTAAATTAATTAAAAGAGAGTGAAAAATGGCGAAATCAGTGAAGGCTGTGGGTTGGGGTGCCACAGACTCGTCCGGCATTCTCTCTCCTCTGGAATTCAGCCGGCGGTCCACCGGCAGCCGCGACGTCCAATTCAAAGTCCTCTACTGCGGCGTTTGCCACTCGGATCTCCACCTCGTCAAGAACGACTGGGGATTCGCCAAATACCCTATGATCCCCGGCCACGAAATAGTCGGCATAGTCACCGAGGTCGGCTCAAAGGTCGACAAATTCAAGGTCGGCGACAAAGTCGCCGTCGGCGTCATGGTCGGATCTTGCCGCCTCTGCGACCAGTGCGAAAACAACCTCGAAAACTACTGCCCCGAGAAACTCGACACCTACAACGGCATCCAGGCCGACGGCTCCCTCACCTACGGCGGCTATTCAGATCTCATGGTCGCCGAAGAGGATTTCGTCATCCGGTGGCCGGAGAATTTCCCGATGGACCGTGGGGCCCCGCTTGTCTGCGCCGGAATCACCACCTACAGCCCGCTGAAATACTACGGGCTGGACAAATCGGGCCTCCACGTGGGGGTTGCTGGGCTTGGCGGGCTTGGCCACGTGGCGGTCAAGTTTCTCAAAGCCTTCGGGGCGAAAGTGACGGTGATTGACATTGCGCCGGAGAAGAAGGTGTACGCGCTCGAAACCCTCGGAGCCGATCAATTCCTGCTGAGCCACGAGCTGGAATCTGCGGCTGGGACCATGGATGGGATCCTCGATTGTGTCTCGGCCTTTCATTCGATCCAGGCTTACCTGAATCTCTTGAAGCCGCATGGCAAGCTGGTGGTGGTGGGCTTGCCGGAGAAGCCACTGCAGCTGCCGATGTTTGCTCTGGCGACGGAGAGAAAAATGATTGGGGGAAGCATGATCGGTGGGATTAAGGAGACGCAGGAGATGATTGACTTTGCGGCTAAGCACAATATATTGCCCGATGTTGAGATTATTTCAATGGATTATATTAATACGGCTATGGAGCGCCTTGCGAGAGCTGATGTCAAATACAGATTCGTCATTGATGTGGCGAATTCACTTAAAGCTTAGTTAGTGGAAGGTTTAGATTATAATTATACGGTTGCATTTTTTAAAAAAAAGAAAAGTTTGTTGGTGGAATTGTTTTAAGGGAAAATTTTTTTTAACCTCCCAAAGTATGCGTTTTTTTTTACTTTGCCATATAAAGTATTTTTTTTGACAAATTACCTCCCAATCTAATCGAAACTAACACATTACCTCCTAACACACGATTCCGGCCGTTCTTTGCACCGGAGAAAGCACGTGCGCGGCACATGTGAGGGTAGAATCGTCCGTTCACGTAATGTTATAATACAAAATCCCAAAATCTGAT